AAATAAGGTAGCCATAAGTCACAATAATGAGGACTATAAAAAAGTTTACTTGGTATATTCAATATTAAATGTATTTTGTTTTAAACAGGTCAAATCATGTTCTGACTTAAAAGAGTCAGTCCAAAACTAAAATAAATTTATTGAAATATATAAGCTGGGCATTGCCATATGTTATTTAATGAATGTATGGGAATGTCAGATAAAAGACACAGGAAATATATGTAAGATCCCCTAAAATAAATAACCATTTGACTTAATTGTTTCTAAAAACTTATCAAATAATAAACTCGAAAATGGCAGATTCAGAAGCAGGGCTTAAAGGAAGTACACCTAGCTTTGATTGGAAATTTTGTTCTGTAAACTGACTTTAACAGGTCAAATCATGTTCCGACTTCAAAGAGTCAAACAAAACTAAACTTATTACAACTTTTAAGTATAGTATTGTCATATTGATTTAAAAATGTATGGGTGAGCCAGATAAAAGACAGAGAGAATAAAGTCCCCATAAGTCACAATAATGAGGACAATAAAAAAGTTTATTTGGTATATTCAATATTAAATGTATTTTGTTTTAAACAGGTCAAATCATGTTCTGACTTAAAAGAGTCAGTCCAAAACTAAAATAAATTTATTGAAATATTTAAGCCGGGCATTGCAGGGCTTAAAGGAAGTACACCTAGCTTTGATTGGAAATTTTGTTCTGCAAATTGACTTAAACAGGTCAAGTCATGTTCTGACTTTAAAAAATCAGTCAAAAACTAAATTTATTGAAATTATTAAGTCAGGCATTACCATTTGATATTAATGATAATGTATGGAAAAATCAATTAATAAACTCAACAGTGGCAGATTCAGAAGGGGGCTAAGAGGAAGAACACATAGCTTTGATTGGAAATTTTGTTCTGCAAATTGACTCAAACAGGTCAAATCATGTTCTGACTTAAAGAGTCCGTCAAAAACTAAATGGATATGCATAAAATCTGGTTCATAATTTTTGAAAAGATGGAGAGATTAATGAGTCTATATTTTGTTATTCCGACTCACAAATGTCACTATGTGACAAATTTCGGGAATTTTTCTCTCCTTTTGACTGATTCCTATATGTTGTATGGGTGCCATAACTATCACTACAACATGTACAAATTCAGCACATTCTAAGGGACGCCATCAAAAGACCAATGTAGGATAAAAAAACTTGAATCAAATAGTTTGGGGGTGGGGGTGGGGTTAAAGTTGCTGCAAGTTTTGTTTATCCAAAATCGATTTTACATAAATCCATATTGGTCAATCAATGTTTCCCAAATTAAGTTAAGAGGGGGGGTGGGTGGGTCAGTGAAAAAACTATGTGATGTGAATTAAGTTTTTTCCTATATTGAACTTTTGATGTCGTCCCTAATAACTTGACCTATTACAGTATTTCTGTCTGAATTTTTTATGAATATTCTGTATTTACTAATTTAACTACATGTATGTTATTGCAAGTGTATTAATTAGCTTTGTTTATTACTTATATTAAACTAAACCTCTATTAATCAATTATCTTTACTCTGGTTATTGATTATATAAGAAAAACTCTGCCTATTACTATATGACTGTAATCTAAACTCTGATTGTTAACATCCTGGATTGCATATCTGCATGACCATTAAACTCATGGTATACCCATTTTATTTGAGGATATAAAAGTATTGTTTTTTCAATATAACATTTTCAGACACATTGAATCTGTGAAGACAACTTTCAATTTGACTTTAGAAATTAAAGAGTTTGTAAGCAAAATGTGGGGGAAATTTAATTATAATTAAGAATGTTTAAAATTAGTTAAGAAAAAAGCCGACATTAATAATGTTAAAAAAAATTTGAGGAGAAAAAACATACAAATTCAGACCAAATATGGTGACTTTGTTGTCCTTCAAGAAGCCGTACATATAATCCATAATATTTTCACTGTTTTTTAAATACATGTAAAAGTTGAAAGATAACTATCTATTGATTTTTTTTTAAATAGCTTTTTTCACAACACTTATAACTTTGTAATTTATGTTCCATTGTACACTTGTTATTCTTAATATCTTTAAAAATTGTTGTTTGGGAACAAAATCTTGTCAGGGTTTCTTATGGTACTAGCATGACAAGTGCATTCATATTCTAAAATACTCTAAACATTAAAAAAAGTCAGTATTTTCAGATCATTCTGAGTCTTTCTGGCCTTATTAAGTCAGAACATTCAGACTTTTATAAGTCAGAACATTCAGACTTTTATAAGTCAGAACATTCTGACTTCCAATGTTCTTCTCACTTCTGTAGAAACAAAGACTATCTATGTCTCAAATAAGAGGTAAATGCTTCATGTGGCTAAGCATCTGGGGTAAGAATTATAGATGTGTAATTTCAGAGGAAAACAAATATGCCAAAATTTATTTTTTTTTCATATAGATTAGACCGTTGGTTTTTCCGTTTGAATGGTTTTACACTAGTAATTTTTTGAGGTCCTTTATAGCTTGCTGTTCGGTGTGAGCCAATGCTCCGTGTTGAAGGCCGTACCTTGACCTATAATGGTTTACTTTTATAAATTGTAACTTGGATGGAAAGTTGTCTCATTGGCACTCATACCACATCTTCCTATATCCATGTAATTAATAAGATGTGATGTATGTGAGAGGAAAATAATACTGAATAGACAATTCTGTTTGCACAAACACTGATAAATATAATATGTAAAGGTGGTCTCTCAGCAGATTAAAATAAACAAGAAATAATTGGAACAGGATGCTGTTACGAAGTCTCCCAAACAAATTTAAGCTCCCATAATTCGTCATTCCCATGGTTGCCTGACATTGGGCAAGTTCCAGTACAAATTGGTTTTGTCTAGTAAAGTGATATGCATAAGTGACGCCTAGGGTTTGACCCTGCGTGTCATTCAAATCTTCTTGAAATGACGAACAGGAATATCATATGGTTTACCTTTAGGTGTGGTGATCCAGAACATTTCAAAAAGGGGGATGGGGATGACACCAATGGACTTCCCCTATATTTCATTTGATTTGTTTTATTGTCCTGTGCAAGAATGTATATGGTGTAGGGGTGGGGATCTCGACCGTTTACAAGTTTTCAAACATGAGGGGGTGGGGTGACCCTCAGGGACTCCACCTTTATTTCATTTGATTTGTCTTATTGACCCTTACAAGAATATATATGGTTAAGGGGTGGGGATCCCGACCGTTTACAAGTTTTCACACAGGAGGGGGTGGGGGTGACCCCAAGGGACTTCCCCTATACTTCATTTGATTTGTTTTATTGTCCTATTCAAGAAAATATATGGTTTAGGGGTGGGGATCTCGACCGTTTACAAGTTTTCAAACAGGAGGGGTAGGGGTGACCCCCAGGGACCCCCCCAACATATCATTTGATTTGTTAAATTGTCCCATACAAGAATATATATGGTTTAGGGGTGGGGATCTCTACCGTTTACAAAATATAAGAACATTTGCAAATGGCAGGGGGTGGGGGTAAACCTGGAGACTAGCCCGGTATATTTCATTCAAATCAGTTTGACATTATAGAGGAATAGAGAAATGACAGGGATAGGGGTGATCCCTGGAGACTTGCCCTACATTTCATTTCATTTGTTTTATCATTTCCCATGATCATAAATGAAGACCAGGTGTGTGCATCACTTATTGTTCTCAAGTTATAACTTTAAAAATAAAAAAAAAACCCTTTGGTTCTTTAGTTAAACCCCTCCCTTCCTTTTTCTTTTATTAAAATTTTTCCCATTTTCGTTTCATTATCATCATATCAATATTCACAATGATCGTTTTTCTCATAGGGAGAAACGAATCAGAAAGGTTAAAAAATCAGTTCGTGATTGAGTTTAAAAATAGAAAAATCACGTGACGATGTTCAGCTCGAAGCAATAATTTTACTTTTTAAATTGCACTGACTGGTTAATAATGTTAATATTGTTTAAGACAACACGAGTTATCTCCCGAAAATAACAATTCATTATCATAACAACATTTTCTGACCTGAACAAGTCAGAATTGTCAAACACCAGGTCATCTAAAAGACCACGCGTCCGTATTTACAGGTCGCGCGCCTTCATGAAACAGCAAAAAAATCACTTGCAAGGAACTTCTTTATAGGCAAAAAATATAAAAATGCCCATGAAAATACGGAGGTAATGTGAATTACCTTTCGAAAAATGCCCACAATGACCTAGATTTTCACTAAAAATCGTAAATAATCAATATAATATTCAATGACTTCTCGTTCGAGACACTTCCAAAACAACGAATCTCAAACACGTGATCTCTTGCAAAAAACCACGTGATCGTATGTGTCGTAGATCGGCGGCAAATTCAAAATAACTTCTGGTTTGACGGACTCGAGTGAAAACTACGCAAAACAAAAATTGACGCGTACAGGTCAGAATTTTAAAACACTTTCTGACTTGAAGAAGTCATTTTATTCTGACTTGTTTATGTCAGAGCTCTGACTGATGAATGAGACAACTTTCCACCAGAGACCAAATGACATAGAAGTTAACAACTATAGGTCACTGTATGGCCTTCAACAATGAGCAAGCAGTCAGCTATAAAAGACCCCAAAATGACAAATGTAAAACTATTTAGAAAGACCCATTTGTTCTATGCGAAGAAAACTTCATGACTTTGGTAAAAATAGGAAACACAATTCATCTACCAAAATTGTTTGGATGAATTAAATATGTTTTTACCTTTTTTTCTACTGAACCATTATATTTGTCAAGACTTCCGGTTTGATTTATTTATTTAAAAAAATTAAAAATATTTGACCCTATTTATATTATATAATTATGACATAATACTTTAAATTTTAACAAAATTTTAAAAAGCCTTTATTCGTATCTATTCAAATTTTTATCCAGTAACTAACCTGTATAAGTAAAATATTACAAAAAATGTTTCATACATAGCTTTTACAGTTTCTGTCAACCATAACCAAATATTAAAACCTACCAAGACTGCCATCTGCAAATGCTGCCCTTAAAGTTTGGGATAACTTTGGAGCCACTTGCATATAAAACATAGTATCTGGATTACTGTTAGCTGATGCTCCTACTGCCTCTGGCCAGAACTTGTTTGGACGTGGAAATCCAATGAAGAACAAAGGTAAGGTGAAGAGTGACAGTAATGGTGCAGATAGAACAGTCGCTGCTCCAATGATTCCCAGTACCACAGGGAAAAACAATATTGATAACACAAATATTGGAACTGTTGACTTTCTCCTCTGTTTCTTGTCTGATACAGATGTGAGCAGAAGAGTAAAGGCAAAATATAACTTGTAGATGAACTGGAAAAATCTGTCTCTGGAAAGTCCAATGAGAAGTGACAGTATTGGTACTCCATAACTCATGACTGTGGAATTGTTTGGAATGGTGATCAGTATTATGTGTACAATTGAGAGTTCTAAGAGACTACTAACTGTTCCCTGCCAAATCTGCAACATAAAAAAGATACATGCATGTATTTCTAGATTTCTTTTATTCAGTTATTTTTGGATTTGATCTACTAATTGTAAATTATGAATTAAATGCATGAATGCATTATTGCAATCCTTGACATCAGACAACAGCAAGATATTTTAATGCAATTTTATATATGTTGTAGTAGAATATTACAAACAAGATTTAAATTGCAAGTTTTTATTATTGCAACGTTATTAATTTTAATCCTGTTGCAATTTTTGGCATTTATATTAATGTCCCATTTATTATTGAATTTACATGAGATAATTTTTAAGAAGGGGACATAACTCATATTCATCCAACAATTTCTTCAGAACAAAAAAACTAGAGGCTCTCAAGAGCCTGTGTCCCTCACCTGTATCTTCTGTGGTTTTGGAAATCATGTAAAATAAGGTTAAAATCATAATAAATAGTTTTAGATACCCCAATAATGACTGAGACCAAGTTTGGTTTAATTTGGCCCAGTAGTTGATTTAAAAAAGCAGGTCATCACATTGTAGTCTTACAATAGTAACTGAAGACCCCTTATCATTATTCAAATTAGTTTTCAAGTTGTGACCATTTGAAATTGTTTTTTTACAATTTTCCCATAGACTTCTATAGTAAACCCCTATGTTCTATTTTTAGCCATGGTGGCCATCTTAGTTGATGGGCGGGGTCATCGGATTCATTTTTTTAAACTAGATACCCTAAGGATGATTTAGGCCACGTTTTGTTTAATTTGACGTAGTAGTTTCAGAGGAGAAGATTTTTGTAAAAGATTACAAAAATTTACGAAAAATTGTGATAAATTGACTTTAAAAGGCAATAACTCCTTATGGGGTCAATTGACAATTTTGGTCATGTTGACTTATTTGTAGATCTTACTTTGCTGAACAATTTTGCTGTTTAGAGTTTATCTCTATCTATTATAATATTCAAGATAATAACCAAAAACTGCAAAATTTCATTAAAATTACCAATTCAGGGGCAGCATACCAACAACTGGTTGTCTGATACGTCTGAAAATTTCAGGGCAGATGGATCTTGACCTGATGAACATTTCTACCCTTGACAGATTTGCTCAAAATGCTTTAGTTTCAGAGATATAAGCCAAAAACTGCATTTTACCCCCTCCCTTGTTTTATTTTTAGCCATGGTGGCCATCTTGGTTGATGGGTGGGGTCATGGGATAAATTTTTTAAACTAGATACCCTAAGGATGATTTATGCCAAGTTTGGTTTTATTTGGCCCAATAGTTTCAGAAGAGAAGATTTTTTGTAAAAGTTAACAGACGACGACGATGGACACCAAGTGATGAGAAAAGCTCACTTGGCCCTTTTGGATTTCAATACTATCATACTTATTTGTATCTAGTTTGAGTTGATCAATACAACTAAATGGTATATGATACAGAAGAGATCATACATTGATCTTTCCTTGAAAATTTTACACACATCATAGTTGATATACAACAATCTTGAAAAATGCAAAGAAAATTATCCTCATGACTTACTTTTCGAGATATTTCAGTTTGATTTATATGTGTCTGAGGTGAAAACAAATTTACATTTCAATATACTTTTCAGAGAGAAAAAAACACAACTTTTCAAACACAGAGATATTTCCACCCAGTTTTTTTGCAAAGTTTTCCAGAAATAACAGACCTTTTTATTTATCTGTTTGTTTTTTTTTTAAATAAACACTACTTTAAAAATGATAATCAATATTAATCAAAATTTAATCATTTATTCTTTTTGTTTTGTTTTAGATCTGAAATAGTTTTGAAAACGAAATCACTATACTACATGTACTATCTCTAAAAAAATAAAATGCTCCGCTGGGAGCAGCTTGATACGACCACAGAGGTTGAACCCTGAACAGTTGGGGCAAGTATGGACACAACATTCAAGCTTGATACAGCACTGAATTTGGATTGTGATTAAATATTTGACACAGCTTAGGTTTCTGACACAGAATGAATGTGGTTTGAGAACTTAAAAATTTTTAATTTACCTATTCAAACCATATCTTTATTATTTGCTTTTATATATAAATCAGAAATAACCAATTTTAAATGGAAAATTTTAAAGAAAGAAAAAGGAAAAAAAGGAAACCCCCCCCCCCCCAATTTTTTGAACCCCCTTATGATTCATCACCCCCAAACTCAATCCCAGCCTTCCCTTTGTGGTATGGTACCTTGCAGTACAATTTAAGAGAGATCCATACACTTGAACACAAGTTATAATATTATTTTCTGGAAACTAGAAAAATGCTTGTTTTTTTGCCCCTTTTTTGCCCCAAATTCCTAAATGTTTAGGGCAATTACCCTCAAACTCAAACCCAGCTTTCCCTTTGTGATATGGAACCTTGTAGTACAATTTCATAAAGATCCATCAGTTACACACAAGTTATTGTCATGAAACTAGAAAAATGCTTGTTTTTTGCCCCTTTTTGGCCCCTTATTCCTAAAATTTGAGGCAATTACCCCAAAAATCAATCCCAGCCTTCCCTTTGTGGTATGGTACCTTGCATTACAACTTCAGAGAGATCCATACACGTGAACACAAGTTATTGTCTGGAAACTAGAAAAATGCTTATTTTTGGCCCCTTTTTGGCCCCTTATTCCTAAACATTTAGGGCAATTACCCCCAAACTCAATTCCAGCTTTTCCTTTGTGATATGGAATCTTGTAGTACAATTTCATAACGATCCATACACTTACACACAAGTTATTGTCCTGAAACTAGAAAAATGCTTGTTTTTTGCCCCTTTTTGGCCCCTAATTCCTAAAATTTTGAGGCAATTACCCCCAAACTCAATCCCAGCTTTCCCTTTGTGATATGGAACCTTGTAGTACAATTTCATAAAGATCCATCAGTTACACACAAGTTATTGTCATGAAACTAGAAAAATGCTTGTTTTTTGCCCCTTTTTGGCCCCTTATTCCTAAAATTTGAGGCAATTACCCCAAAAATCAATCCCAGCCTTCCCTTTGTGGTATGGTACCTTGCATTACAACTTCAGAGAGATCCATACACGTGAACACAAGTTATTGTCTGGAAACTAGAAAAATGCTTATTTTTGGCCCCTTTTTGGCCCCTTATTCCTAAATGTTTAGGGCAATTACCCCCAAACTCAATTCCAGCTTTTCCTTTGTGATATGGAATCTTGTAGTACAATTTCATAACGATCCATACACTTACACACAAGTTATTGTCCTGAAACTAGAAAAATGCTTGTTTTTTGCCCCTTTTTGGCCCCTAATTCCTAAAATTTTGAGGCAATTACCCCCAAACTCAATCCCAGCCTTCCCTTTGTGGTATGGTACCTTGCAGTACAATTTCAGAGATCCATACACTTGAACACAAATTATTGTCTGGAAACTAGAAAAATGCTTGTTTTTGGCCCCTTTTTGGCCCCTTATTCCTAAACGTTTAGGGCAATTACCCCCAAACTCAATTCCAGCTTTTCCTTTGTGATATGGAACCTTGTAGTACAATTTCATAGAGATCCATTCACTTAAACTAAATTTAGAGTGCGAAAACCAATGTGTCTTCGGACGACGACGACGCCAACGTCATACCAATGTACGACTGCAAAAAAATCATTTTGCGGTCGTATAAAAACCTGTTCAAAATGTTATAAACATTAACATGAACATAAACATAGAAATCCTACATTCAGAAGGTAATATTATACTCAGAAGGGAATATGAAGTTTTGTGCGACGTCACTTGGGAGAGTCTCAACCAATCAAATTTTGATTTCACTATCAATATTAACATGCAGTGGAATAATCTGCAAATTATCGATGCTTATCATTAGTGACTTGTGTTATTATCTGCCCCTTCTACTGTATATATATAGTATGTCCTTAAGAAAGGCTGTGTTTTTGAATATAGATGTACATTTTAATCAGCTTACCCATCTAAATACTCTAACAGTACCAAATGTGTACCACACAGCTTTTGTAGTGTCCACTCCTGATGTCAGGGACACAGAATCTGGGTCTGTACTGGTGATGAGGATTGATATATAAGCCAACATAAGGAAAGGACTCACTGCAAAGAAAACTGGGATTTTATCCATAAGAAATGAAAAAGATCTACAATGTCTTGAAAGACAACCACCTTTTAAATATAAAAATTTTGATGAGGCATTTTTTTTATATTTTTAAATAATCTTCATGTGTTTAGGATAAATATACCTGAGTAAACCAGTATATTTACCATGGTGACAATTTAAAGTGTTTCTTATCCAAATCCGGATGAATGAATGAATGGTACATGTAATGAAACTGATTCAATGTAAGGTCTTGTTCTATAATTTTATGAATTGCTATAGAATCTTACCCCAGTTTACTATAAATCTCCTTATTACTCCTAGTATTCTTAGTCTCCGCCGTCTTTTGTCATATGATCTTCCTCTGCTGTTTGGATATATACACGGCAAGTTTCTCCACAATCCAAAAAAAATGTAAACATTCTGTAAGTCCCTAAAAATTTTCTCTGCAAGACAACATCCAATTATAACATATCCGATTATTTTCCACGCACTTGAATCTATAGAACCCGCAGTGCCTGTGTTAGAATTTAACATTCCTGACATGACTCCTACAATTACCATCATGACAAAATGGTAAAGACATTGTAATAATCCAAATTTCCATAAAAACCCATATTTTGATGTCTGACTCGTGACATCCATAGAACTGGTACCAGATGTCACTTTATTCCTATACAGTAAGAAATGATAAATGTTATTGGCTGCTGCACCAAGGTCAAGGCTAAGTAAGTATCCCATCAAAGCACATATAACAACTGTTGCTATACTTTTCTTTATAAAGTAGGCAGCAAGAAAGACTGTTACTGAAATCACCAACAAAACAAGTAATCTGAAAAATAAATTATGTTTAATTAGTTCAGACTTTTTTTTTTTATTTAAGCATCTCAAAAGGTGTGACTGTCTCTTAAAGATTTTAGTTTAATTTGCCACAAAACAAATTGTATTTTTTGCTTTATTATCTTAAATATACATATATATGTACTATATTACATAATTTGAAATTGGTTATGCCTTGTATTTACTTCATTGCTACAAACATCTTTTTGACAATAATTGCCCCTTAAAGTTTTTTATTTGTATGAATAAGGGAAACATGTTGTGGGGTTCTATCTCATTTTCCGAATGTTGCTCCTTTTGATATCTTTAACAGCCTTTTAAAGACCTCTTCATAAATGACGAAACTATGTTACCTTTATTTATTCAGAAAAACAAAAAACTGCATAGGGCAGGACTAGAGGGGTGCAGGATCCATTTATTTAAGTAAAATTACAACCAGGTATTAGTTTCTGTTTCATTTCAGTTTACAAGGTAAAAAGGTAAATATATACATGTACCTGATATCAGAAGACACAGGAGATCCTCCTAGCATAAATACATGAATCTGTTCAAATAACCAGAGGATGAAAGCATCTAAGGGAGGTAATAAGCCTGTTATCCAAGCCAGAGGTAAACAGACAAAAACTATGTGAAGTGCTTGGTCAGCTGTGTTAAAAACTGTTGAGTAATACCTACATTTAAAAAAAAAATATAACATTTATTTTACACTAAATATGCATGTTGTATGAAGATAAATCTCTATCATCTATTCACTTTATAATTCAAACATGCCTATTTTAATTTATACTTTATTTCTACAAATATGTAGCTTTTAATTGCTAAACAATGTACATTTAATTATAATTTTGCATGTCTTATAAATTTTAAAAGTTATTTTTTAATTAACTTGATTGAATATGGTCATGCACATATTGATTACTATGATGAAAAGGTACTGTGTCACGAGAGTTTACAGTATAGTATTCATACAGGATCATGTGTGCTGTTTTTTTTCTTCAGAATAGTGATTTTCTATACAAATGTAAATTTACATTTATTTGTGAAACCATGTTGGATAAAATCTGCAAATAATTCAATTTTTTTAGAATTATTTGCAGATTTTATCCAATCTGGCTTCTAATTGCATATAAAATGTACTGGTACTTATATAATAAGAATTTATCATATACATGTATTTGTAAACTAAAATGACATACTTATACATACCTATTCATAAGATAAATAGAAACACAAATGAGAACATACAGTGACCTCATTAATGGAGCTATTTCCCAGCTATCTTGTGTTTTGTAAGTATTTGGTTCTGGTGGTGACCCTACAGATAAGGAGTACTGAGCTATGCATAATGTCAACCAACCAAATATATACAATACTACTGTTGCCCCAGTATTGTGACTATAAAGTGAATTTAGTGTCATTGGTAATAAGTACATGAAGGTCAACCCACACACAAATCCTGACAATACTGCATGGATAACAATATTAAATTTGAATCTCTTCTTTGGTACAACAAATTCCAAAGTTTCAACACCACAACAGGAGAAGAAGTCAATTTCATCTTCTTCCGCTAGTAGATTTTTCTTTGTAGGATATGGAAGGTCTGATGAATTCTGAGCTTGAACTATTGTTGATGTCAACTGCACAATCAACACACATGTAAAAATCAAACTTCCAGTTATAATACTGCCTACATAATCATCTATGGTTTTAAGTTCTACTAATAATGTGAATATACCGCCAATTAAAAATGGAAACAGAAATAATAACAGCTGTTGGAAATATACATAAACAGGTGCCTCATATCCAAGTCGTAATTTTGGTCCTCCAAGCAGTGTCTGAGGAAATCTTTTAGAAAGGAATTCTCGTTTATATTCATTCAGAAGAGGAATCCCAGTTCCCATCATGAATGTATTACAAAGCTGAATGTTGTGTCTTTAATCATCAACCTTTCTCAAACTCCATGTTGGAATATTACATTTGTTTGTTGTTTCAGCTGAAAGACAGAAAAATAAATAAAGTAATTAAACATTTTTCATATTAGAATTGAGAATGGAAATGTGTAATGTGTCAAAAAGACAGCAACCCGACCAAAGAGCAGAAAACAGCCCACCACCACCAATGGGTCTTCAATGCAGCAAGATTTCCTGCACCCAGAGGGCTTCAGCTGGCCCCTAAACAATAATGTAATCTAGTATTTCTTAAAAAGTAGACCAAGGTGATCTCTCTGTTTGATGAGGTCTTCTGAATTTCCATTTAGCAGATAATTAGTCTCTAGGTAGTTTGATTTTTTTTAAGATTGAATATACATACTCTCATTATGAAATATTTAATTAGCAAACAATTCCACACATTTAATAGTAACATACATTTGTATTTCTACTTAGAAAAATGTAGAGCTCAACAAACTGTATAGACTTTTGTCTATTGTTGAAAACCTGATCTTAACCTCAAGATGCCCGTTTTGATTTTTCTTGCTATTCTCATTGATGTAAACACCACGTGTCAAATGAATGAACAGCTTGATAGACAATTCAAACTAATAAATATGCATAACACTACATTTGTATTATGTGATAAGTTATGTACAATAATGGTATAGTTATGTGTATGATATTTATTGATATATGTATATTAGGATTGATAATTTATGATAAGGTCACTAGTCTTAACCCCAATCTCATCTTTTTATTCTTAATCATTGTTAATTGTGACATAACTGTAAGCTACTAATAACCAGTGTTATAAGCTTGAGGAACACGACCGGTGCCACATGTGGGGCAGAAACTACTTTCCCTTCTGGAGCACATGAGTTCATCTCCTGTTTTAAATGGGGTTAATGCAGCTGCTAAGTCTTTAGTTTATTTATGTAATTTTTTGTTATTGTTGTTTGTCCTTTCTCCATTTTTACTTTTCACCATGTTGTTTTCTGTATTTTATATTGGACTTTTTCAAATCCCCCCCCCCCCCCTTGGTGTTTTTTTTATCTTATTTTATTACAGGACCTTTTAGACATATCGTCACTAGAATCAACTGAGATTCATATACATTCATCAATCCTGTGGATTTACCTCATACTGATATGGTGTCATTAGGAATGATATGTGACGTGCAAGATTTATATAAAAGAGGGAGAAGAAATAAGATAGCAAGGGAGCAATCAAAAACCAATCAATCCTGTGGTTTTACCTCATACTGATATGGTGTCATTAGGAATGATAATATGTGACGTGTAAGATTTATATAAAAGAGGGAGAAGAAATAAGATAGCAAGGGAGCAATCAAAAACCACAAGTAGAACAAAAAACATACAATACCATGACCAAAAATAAAACCAGGTAAAGACAATTCACAAAATACTACATAGAAAACAAAAGATTAAGCAAAATAAACTCAACCAAGAACTAGGTTGAACTCATCAGGTGCTCCAGAATGGTAAGCAGTTCCTGATCCAGCCTCATATTGCCCATGTTATATACATGTACCAGTCCAGATATTTCAATTGATCTGATAATCAAAAAAAGTATTAATGGCAGTCTTTGGTTTATAGATTTAATCATGTGAAGACCATTTTCTTTGAAAAATTTTGACACTAGTATAGGGCCTACTGTGAACACATTGGGAAAACTGGAACTGGATATTGACAAACATAAACTTAATCAGTATGCATTGAACAACATTTAAAATCAATGTAAGTCACAGTTTATTGGTTATACAACCCTTTTGAAGGCATTATGGACACACAAAAATGTATGCTCTTTTTCAAAAGACTGTGCATGCTAGGAACATATAATATGTTCATCACAAGACAATGAAAAGGCAAGTATTTTAATAGACTTAAAAATAATTACAAACTTATACAACTTGAATACTAGTTATTATACATTTTAGGATCCTTCAAATTCAAATGAATAGTGTTACATGTATATGACATCATAATGACCATCATGACAGATTGGCAACATTTTCTGATATTCTTTGCACAACATAACAGATGAATATTTCTTTTTTAAAGCATCACAGCTAAACAGTTAGGTCATGATGCAACCTGCTAACTAATTAATCACCATTAAAAAACAATTAAACTAAATTAATTATTTTCAATGAGATTATGAGATGATCATCCCAAGTGAAATCAGATGGTTTGGAGATGATTCTGTATCTCTAATAAACAACAAACTATTAATCATGTTAATTGTTTACATTGTGTCATGTCTGAGTTGTTAGAGTTGTCTTTAACACTGATTAAAAGTGTCTCTAAATGGATCTAACTGGTTTAAGTTGTCTTTTAAACTGGTCAGAGTTGTCTTTAAAAGTAATCTGAGTTTTCTTTAAATAGGTTGAGTCGATTTGGGTCTGACTTGTCTTGGTCTTTGGTCTGAGTTTTCCTGATTCCAATTGACATCATACCTTAAAACATGTATCAATTGATAGTTTTTACATGAACGTGTGTACCATGATGACAAGTGTAATGAAACATAATTTTCTCTTTTTTCACTGAAAATAATACCCATTTATTAGGTTCTTCTCCAAACCTGTAAGCTGTTGTATAAGAACCTTATTTATGTCTCTATTCACCCTACATGGTAAACGTGCACAAGGAAATTCAAAATCTTCAACATTACAAAATCTATTTAATTTCACAGGTATCTGCATTAACTTTGGAGTGGTGTGTTCATTGTTGTGGCACGTTTTTTTGGAATGTTGATTTTCCTTAGATACAAACTACATACATACAGGCACTACTGCGATTGAACGTTGTAAAAAAAAGAATAAACGGAGATATTTGGGTTGTGCTTATTCCAATTTTACTTAATTCAAAAACATCCATTACTTAAATAAGAAAGAACAAAGGCTCAATATACTTATGTCAAAACATTGGCATCGAAATTCCTTACCAAAAAATATAACACTAAAACAAATGTCGGAACGGATACGTACTGTAGAGGGGGATAACTGCGTTATTTAAAATAATAATAAAAAAAAAACAGCAACATGTGAACCCGATACTGCTGACCATTGCTGACTGGTCAGCAAAAAATTTCTGCTGAATTGATTTGCTTTAGACAAGGATGTATAACTAACATACGTCTAATATACGTCTTTGCTTTAGATATGTGTAGAAGATCATAAGTCTTGCACAAGATCAAGAAAAGCACTGTTGGATTTTAGTCAGTGTAAATATACCAAAAAAATATATACATTACACGGCTTCCGTGTGATTATACCTTAAAAGGGTTTAATATCATTTATTTTAGCTATTACTCAAAGTTTTCTTCGTTTTTCCTTCGCCTAGTATACAAATAAACTCATCATAGATACAATGCCTAATCCTGTTGCAATTTCCAATTTCCAGTGAAAAAGGGATGTCCAAAGAAACATAAATGCAAATTGCAAAGACCATCGCAATATAACTAATATTAGCGTTCAATTTGCTTTAAAATCTGGATGCATTTTTTTTAACTTTCATAACTTTACATTGTGTTTCCTGCATGCCTTCAATGTATTTTGCCCCTTCAGGACCTTCAGTGTTTGTCTTATACTCATACAATAGTTATTAGTAAATGTAAGTCTTGTGGGAATATGTGATATCAGGACAGTGTTGATGTTAAAAATCTGCACAAGTGACATTGGAAAATTAATGTGAATTTTCGCATTACTAAACTACATCCAGGACAAGTAAGGACAGTTGAAGAGTTTGACATCATTTTCATGAAAGCACGGCCATCATTAAAGTATATTGACCTCTAGTTGTTTCTTTTTTGCTGCTGTTGTGTTACTGTCCTATTGGATTTTACCCAACATATCCTTTTATATAAATTGGTTCCATTGAGCACATACTCTATGCAAAAATGGGTATAAAGTTCCTATATGAAATCGACTTACAATTACGGCTTATTTGTAGATCTTATCTTACTGGTCATTTTTTATATTTAAGTTTCCGGCTTTCTATTTATAATAGTATGCAAGATAATAAACAAAAGCATAAAAAAATGGTAAAAATCGTCATTTAAGGCCAACATCTCCTTTCAGGAGTCAACTGACAATTTCGGTCCTGTAGGCTTATTTGTAGATCTTGTCTTATTTGTCATTTTTTACCTTTAAAATTTCTCTCTATTTATAATAGTTTTAAAGATAATAGACAAAACGCCACAAAAAATGAGAAATATCGTCTATTTTCAGCCTGAGTGGCTATTTTAATTGACTAACTGATCCATCGGACACAATATTTAACTAGATACCACAAAGATGTTTGTGGTAATTTAGTTTTATTCGGCCCAGTAATTTCGATCAGAGGAGAAGTTTTTTGTGAAAGTTACTGAACGACAGTCGCCAAGTGATAGCAATATCTTAAACATGTGAGCTAAAAAAAAGAAAAATCGACATAATAAAAGGAGATGCAAGGTATATATCAATTAGACACCATGGTTACTTAATTATCCAAAGTACGTTCTTATGAAGCAAGGAAAGAGACAGGAAATGTGATTCAAGTTACAATAATGAAACGAATCACTCAATGGAACCTATCCAAGATTATCTGATACACAGACTGATGGTCACCAAGTCACAATTTCGTCTTTCAATCTTCAGAAGAGATGACCTCAGCTTTACTATTAAGAACACCCAGATTAATTAGCTTACATCTAGCCAACATCCTTTTATCAAGAATATCTTGATAGGGAACGCACGTTCTGGAATCTTATTTAACATTCATAATATAATATTCCATGTGCAAATGCTGCTGGCATGTTGATTCATACACATTGAAAGTTAAACAATCAGAAAATACTTTATTTGCGGGAGTGAGCTAATGCACGAAACATACTAAGCTATATTTGTGGTATCGTTTATTTCAATGTGAACATTATATGGGATAGATGCCATCATCCATGATAATAAAACAAATTGCAATATTATGTGACAAATTTCATCTATAAAACGGAACATGAAGTTATTGCACATATTGTGTATCCCTGAGATGTCTGACACCAACATGCGAAAGACACCGATGAGAAGCATCTTAGATAACTTCACTGGTAAACTGACAGTCGTATTGTAACACATGATATTTACAGTAAAAGGTATATTGCCTGAGAATATTGCCTTTTTAGCTCTAGCTTTACGGAGAGGTGTTTTGTCAACACAGTAAGGATGATGATGATGGGTACATCAGAGGATATTAACTTGCACCTTCAGAACATATAAAGACGGAAACACAGTTTTCTACTGAACAGTCAAAATATATGTCAAAGTTTATGGTGAAACACTTGTTATACATAAAATGTGCAACTATCCTGAAATATATATAGCTTCTGTCTAGAACAACGGATCGTCAGTTTGCATATTAAAGGAATGCATATATTTATAAGGCAAGGACACGTTAAAAGCAAACACGAATAGTAACTGGCCAAATCGTTTAAAAAATCTGGATGAAAGGTTGAAAAATTTAAACAGTATATAACCAGAGACATATATACACACTCTGATATAACTGATGAAAAAGATCATATTTCAGCAACTTGCATGGAAACTGAGACTACTATAACACAGTGTTATAGTAGTCTCAGATGGAAAGTGAAGCTATAAAAAAAATGACAATATGCAAGAAAAATGAAATAACGAAATGACAGTGTAACATAATTTTTTAATTTCCGGAATGCTTGATTGCTTGCTTTCAGTGTAATTTCTCGGTATATAATCTGCGTGTAAATGCATCTATCCCATTCATTAAAACCAACAAAACAACAAAATCGTATCTTTATACTCTTTATTCTGACAAAACACAAGCTTTACAGATAGATGTCATCAAATAAAACAGTCAGATATGTTTCAGTTTATTTTCAATGCAAATTTCTATAGTAAACTAAACTATATTAGACAGGATCTTCTTTTTATTAAGAATGATTGATTCTTGTCTTGAAATCTGAAAATGGTTGATGTACACTTTTTGAGGGAGGGTGGTGGGTCTGAAAAAGTGTATGTTTTGTACACTTTGGAAAATTGTTGACAATTATGGATGATCCCTAACATTTTCATCCAAACTTTATTGAAATGTGATACTGTAACAATGATGGATGTAATGGGATGATACATATATAGAATATTAATTAAGCCTTGATTAATTAGCTTAATTTTTTTTTTATAGTATTAGCTTAGAGGAACATTTTTTTATTATTATGTATTGGGTTTTAATAACTTGATTATATTTTTATAAGACCCCTTATGGGATATCGAAATTTCAAATTTGGTTAACTTATTAAAGCCTTTCAAAATTATGTCAATGTTGGTCTCCAAGCGACAAAAGTGTCAATATGCAAGACCGTGATAGGTGTTACAATCTAGTGGCTATGCTTCATACCTTGTATATAGATGCCTTAATATGTTATGAAGTTTCCGTCTGTCATGATCATTGTCCTTGGCCTCATTTTCATGGTTCAGAGACTGCTTAAAAAACTTTATATTTTTTTGTCATATGAATTTCTCACTTATTATGAGTAATAGGATAATAATATTTGGTCTATGGAATCCTTGCAAGGTCTTCCATGATGTAAAACATGGTTCACCTGACCTCGACCTCATTTCATGGATCATTGATCGATGTTAATTTTTTTGTGTTTTGGTCTGTTTCTCAGATACCTTAGGCAATAGGTCAACTATATATGTTGTATGAATGATTGAAAGGCGTACATGTCCGTCTGGAACGTGTCATTTGACCTTGACTTCATTTTATGGTTCTTTGGTAAACGTTAAGTTTCTGCAGTATGGTCTTTATCTCTGATACTATATGCAAAAGTCAACAATGTTTGGTGTATGAAATCATTGTTACAAGTATATATCTGTCTTGCAGGGTTCATCTGACCTTGACCTTATTTTCATGGTTAATTGGTCAAATGTAAAGTTTTCCTAGTTAAGCCTGTGTCTCAGATACTGTAATCAATATAAGGCCAACTATATATGTTAGTTAACAATGTTAGTTGTACATGTCTGGATGGCAGGTATCATACGACCTTTACCTCATTTTCATGGTTCATTCTACAATGTCAAGTTTAGTGGTTAGGTTTGGTTTCTATAAGCAATTGGTCAACTATTTTCCGTGTATGGAATTACTGTCAGGTGTTCTTTTTAATCTAGTAGGGTTCGTCTGACCTTTACCCTCTCAAATGGATCATTGATAATGATAAGTAAAGCAGGCAAGACTTTCCAGTGCACGTGTGTGCACTCTTGTATTGATAAATTAACAGGTTAATATAAACTGGACACTTTAGTGCAGCAAGGTCACATGTAAAACCACTATGATGTCAAAACATTTAGAAATTTATGCATTAGACCTAAAATGGCCATTTCTCAGTTAAGTCTGCCTTATATCTTGACTTACCCAATTGAGCTTCCCAATTGTGAACAATCCATTTCTATGTAGCAACAATCTCACAGCGCCTGAGTATGGAGTATTTAAATCTCCCAGATGATATTCAAGAGCATGCATTTCCTATCATGATTTCCTTGATAGAAGGTTGCTGCTTATAAGGAAGCTTCTATGCCAAGAGTTCAAACCTGTGAAATTGAAATCATCCCTTCGAAAATTTTACAGACACCATCACGAGTTGGTTGACAGTTATGGAATATCTATTTCACAGATGACAACAGATATGTTTCAATTAATATAACCACAAACCATCCTCTTTTCCTGGAATGTGACCTACTTAATTAGACTTATCACAGGGTTTGTACTTACATGAGCAACAAGACATTTTTTTTCATGGCATTGTCTGTTTGTTTTCAACTTAATAGTTTGATTATCCTTCAAGTATCTTTCACATAGTTTTTGGTTAAACTATATATGATCAACAGCTTAACCCAAAAAAGATAATTTACAACTTTGTAAAATACATTATGTATTGTGAGAAAAAAATTATACATATGAATACTAATGACCAATGGAACAATGTCTTAGGAATCTGAAGGATGTTATTTGGTAGATTTATAATACTTTTGACAACATTTTCCTGGGAATTTACAATCAATTAAGTTGGCTTCCCTTGGCCAGAAGTACTACCCCCAATCATGTTGGGAGTGCTGTGAAGTGTTTAACCATTGTAATATATATATTGTTGCAATGCATTGTATATTAAATATCATGTTTGGAAGGATTTAAATTATTTGCACCCAATTAACTGTATATTTAATTTGCAGTATAATCTAAATAATGATGTAATTAAAATCTTGAATTTTTGTGTCATCTTGATTTGCTCCTGGAAGGTCCTTTAAAAAAATAAGGAGATGTAGTATGATTGCCAATGAGACAACTATCCACCAAAGTTCAAATAAAGTGGATGTAAGCAATACATATTTTAATTTCCCTGGTTATATATCAATCCTGTTCGATGAATGCTTCTGTTTGTCTATCCATGCTTGCAGGTGCAGGTTGCAACAACAGTTCTGTTACAGATGCAGTGTGAGCCAACGCCTGGTTATTAAGATATTTTAGGTTCCTTTGAGATGGATACTTTAATATTCATTTTTGATCTTTGATTTCTGATTTTACAAATGCCAAAATATTAATTTACATTTTTGCAACATACTACTATGAATGTTCTAGTAGTGGTTATTTATCAAATATTTTTTTTCAAACCTTTTACTGTATTTATGAAAGTTATAATATTTGCAGTTCAAATTGATACAGTTGGGAGCCTCTTGTTTGATATTTATAGTTAAATTTGTCTTCCTTAAAATTTTATTCTTCCTGATTAGTTATACACATGGAGTTAAAATTTTTTACATATTAAGAGATAAAAAAGAAAGATTAAAGGGTTTAATACATGTTTGGGATTTTTCTCTGACTGACTTGTATTTTGAGCTTTAAATTGTTGATCAACCTATTTTCTCATAGGAAATTTTTTTTTTTTTTTTTTGTCAATGGCATTTTTAGGACAAGCTTAGCAATTTATTTTCCATAGTTTAACATCTTTCTAAGTTTTATTTAACAAAATAACTGTGAGCTGTTCACAATTGTTAAACAGTAATTAAAGATCAAATTATTATTCCTGTCAATAAAGAAAGCCATATTTGACAGTTTTTTGAAAGAAATTTTGCGTTCTAGACATTAAATGTCTTATAAAACTAGTATACAGATGAAAAGGGTCAGATACTGAAATCCCAGGTTATTTGATGACTTGTTTGGGTAATACAAAAAATCTCGGATCAGTTGGTAAAGTCCCATTTGTGTAATGAGTAGTTGCAGATCCTGTATAAGTTTCAATTAGGATGAAGATCTTTTAAAGATAGATATAATTAAAGGAGCTATAATGACAACCCTTTCCATTTCTGAATGAATTGGGTTCCAAATGGTCTAATTTGTATGTATTTAGGAAGTACCATTATATTCAGATGACTTATTTTGTTTATATTTCAGCAGAAATATTAAAGAAGAAACCAAACCAGTGTTGCCTGTTGGCTCCATGCCAATTTTTTCTGAGAATGAGTTTCAAAAAAATGTATAAAGTCACATTTCTATGGCATAAACATTGTAATTCCCATTCTATAATATGTTTAATTTCACCAGATTTATTGGATAAAATGTGTTGATCAACTTCCCTTTTTTTTCTTAAATTGAATTGACCTTTTCAATTGCCAAAACACCATGCTCTTTTAAATTACTTTGAGAATCATTAGAGAATGTAATTCATTGATATCAGGTAAGCCCCTGAGCCTCTAGACTAGTATGAAGTCAGATTCTTACAGTCATTCATAAGATTATACAAGGTATTAAACCATAACGTCAAACTGAAGTTTATACTGCACTCAATGACGATGGTTGTGTACTGTATAATTAATGACTTCATTTGAATTTTAAATTTATTTACAAGAAAGTCTTTTATGTAAAAAAAATATCATGTAGCTGTCCTTGTCAAAACTGCCATTAAAGTTTCTAGTTTTGAAGGAAAATTACGACCCTCAAATTTATTCATGTCAACTTCCTGAAATTCACATCCAACAAATGACCATTTTTCATCTTTTGTCACAATCCTGGATTTATTTTCTTTAGGACAAGACTGTATGAAAACCTTGGTTCCAGTTGAAGGACCACTTTTAATTGCTAGAGCCCTGAAAATCAAAATAAATAAACTTAATAGAAAGAAATCAACATCACTGTTTCAGACAGTTAATAAATTATAAATGTTGCCAAATAGCATGTATTTCAATTATTATTACAATTATTGACTACCTCAGTGGTAGATTCAGAGTCAGTATAATGTATCAGAGTAGGGCCATATGTCTTTCTGTGGACTGTTCCAACGAGGTGCGACTGTACCTCAGTGGTGGATTCAGAGTCAGTATAATGTATCAGAGTAGGGCCATATGTCTTTCTGTGGACTGTTCCAACGAGGTGCGACTGTACCTCAGTGGTGGATTCAGAGTCAGTATAATGTATCAGAGTAGGGCCATATGTCTTTCTGTGGACTGTTCCAACGAGGTGCGACTGTACCTCAGTGGTGGATTCAGAGTCAGTATAATGTATCAGAGTAGGGCCATATGTCTTTCTGTGGACTGTTCCAACGAGGTGCGACTGTACCTCAGTGGTAGATTCAGAGTCAGTATAATGTATCAGAGTAGGGCCATATGTCTTTCTGTGGACTGTTCCAACGAGGTGCGACTGTACCTCAGTGGTAGATTCAGAGTCAGTATAATGTATCAGAGTAGGGCCATATGTCTTTCTGTAGACTGTTCCAACGAGGTGCGACTGTACCTCAGTGGTAGATTCAGAGTCAGTATAATGTATCAGAGTAGGGCCATATGTCTTTCTGTAGACTGTTCCAACGAGGTGCGACTGTACCTCAGTGGTAGATTCAGAGTCAGTATACTGTGGATTCATTAATATTCGTTGGATACCAATTTTCGTGGATTTCGTGGGTACAATGGAACCACGAATTTAAAAGATCAACGAATTACAAATTTTCTAAAGGAATGTATGCAGACTTTGCCAAAACCACGATATTAAATATCCACGAATATGCAAGTTTTTCTCAATCCACGAAAATTGGTACCCACGAAAATAAATGAGTCCACAGTAATGTATCAGAGAAGGGCCATATGTCTTTCTGTGGACTGTTCCAACGAGGTGCGACTGTACCTCAGTGGTAGATTCAGTCAGTATAATGTATCAGAGAAGGGCCATATGTCTTTCTGTGGACTGTTCCAACGAGGTGCGACTGTACCTCAGTGGTAGATTCAGAGTCAGTATAATGTATCAGAGTAGGGCCATATGTCTTTCTGTGGACTGTTCCAAGGAGGTGCGACTGTACCTCAGTGGTAGATTCAGAGTCAGTATAATGTATCAGAGTAGGGCCATATGTCTTTCTGTGGACTGTTCCAACGAGGTGCGACTGTACCTCAGTGGTAGATTCAGAGTCAGTATAATGTATCAGAGTAGGGCCATATGTCTTTCTGTGGACTGTTCCAACGAGGTGCGACTGTACCTCAGTGGTAGATTCAGAGTCAGTATAATGTATCAGAGTAGAGCCATATGTCTTTCTGTAGACTGGTACCTTGTCAACTAGCATATTAAAATTCAAACTCAGTATGGTCTACTTTCAAAGCAAGTTATATGCATAATTGGTTAATATGTTATCATCCTAAATATGCATGTAAAATTTGTACTTAAATGTTAAGCACCAATTGACAAATTCATCATTTAAAAAAATAAAAATTCACTGACTGGTTATATAAGACTACAGTACCTTGAATGAACTAGCTAAAATGTCATTAAGTTCATCCCCATAAACTTTTGCATATTTTGAAAGTTTTATGTTTTTCTTTTTTTTTTTTTGGCTGGGTTGCTGTCCCGTTGACATACACCCTGCATCTCCATTTATTCATATTAAATGTAAACAACATACAACACACAATTTCATATTGGTCTTGGATGAAGTTTGAATCTAAACATAAACTTAAGTCCTTGTTTGACCATCCAGATGACATCCTTTAGCTTTTCCTAGTTATCACAAGCAGATAATTTTTGCCTGATTAAAGATGACCGACTTAATCAAATCTGTATAAAAACATCTGAACATATAGCATGGCCTATGTTCAAAGATGCAGATATCCTTTTAAGGCTGGTGAAAGTTATTGTGATTTTTCAGAAGCTAAAAAAATCCAATAGCTTTTGAAATATTTTTTTCATGTTGGACAGCTAGACTTAAATAGTATTTATACTTAAATTTAACTTGCATATATATATGATTTCAACAATAGCAGTTTTTTCATAGCTCTTGACAAAATTTTTATCAATTTAATTGGCTACAGTAAATGTAGGGAATTAATATCCTTTTAAAGTTAACTTACTTGTTATGATTAGGTGAAGCCATGACCAGTGCTGATGCTGTTGCTGAAGATTCTAAGTCTGACACACCAAGAGCACCAGTAGTATTTAACATGTGCCATCCCATTAGACGTGACAAATTTTGTGATACACTTATCTGATGCTGTGATATCTATGGAATATAAATTATATAAATACTTTAGTCACATCAATACTAGAATTAGTCAAATCACTCTAGCAATACTATTTTTTAATGTGTAAAAGGATCTAGTCCATAGGTATTTTTCATTGGTTATCATTGGTTATCATTCTTTTATAAATACATATTGTACTTGTTAAGAGATGAAACTTTAATAAAACATTGAAATGAATTGAATCTATATCATATATTTGCATCAAGATTCTATTTAAAGCATGAAGATTTTCCTTAAAAAGTTCCATGTTTTATGTTTATTCTTATTTCAATGGTGGCCATCATGGCAACCAATCAAAAAGTATGAAATCCGACACAGGTAATAAAGTTTTGCAAGTGGTAATGAAATTAATCTTGAAGTAATTCTTAATGCCTTTTATTGGACTTAATAATATGTTACAATCCCTATTTTATAACAGTGATTACTTACTTGCCACAAAATAAAGTCTTCCAATTCTTTTTCTTCATAAGACAGAATTAATACTCGTCCCTCTCTTGTTATTACTTTGATTTTATCTACATAAATATGTACCATAAAACTGTGCCATATTCTGAAATTAATCAAGATAATTTTTCTTTTATCAAATACATGTGTATGTGTATGTGTAAACTGTTCCACATTCTGAAAATAAACATCTTTCTGCTATTAAATATATGTTGTACTATTTTCTATGGGTAAATACTTTTCCTTTTATTTGAAAATAAAGTCTATACAATGTATACCAGTAGCTAAACTGGAAGTTGATTTTGGAGAATACAAAAAAGCATATTCATTTCATTGAAAGCATTTCCATTATTTTATCTTTAATCAGCAGGTTGTGTTTCAAATCAGCAATTATGACCCTATTGGCTATTTGTTATAGGTAAGCCTTAAATCTAGAACAATGTATATCACTTAGTTTATATCAAATTCCAATAGATATATGGGTCTTGATTAGAAGAAAAAAAATACCTGAGATCATAGCCCTGTGAAGTGATGAGTACCCTACAACTAGATTCGAGACTGGAGTTGACACAATTCCAGTGGTTAGCCAACTGTGGATCTGACAAAGTTACAGCATATCTATCTAATACTCCCATTGTTCTGAAAAAATATACATGTAATGAATTGTGTCATATAAACATGTTTTATATAGTAATACAGATACTAAGGTTTTTTAAAATAAGTTATCCTCAATTGGATTTAAAATTGCATACAGTCATTGATATTACATTCAATAACTTGTATTTTGAGTTAGAGCTTGTTGACAAAAGCATGTTAAAAATATTTGTTAGGCTGCTTGCCAAATATGTAAGAAATACTACTTTAACACTGCTACATGTTCATATGCCTGTCCAAAGCCAGAAGTTGTGTCAATAGATGTCATATCTTAAAATATCTTTGTTATTTGGAGAATAGGTGTTGATGGAAAATCTTTGATTATTTCTGTTTAATTTATTCAAAACTATTATAGACTCTGGACGAGAGTTTGACATATTGTATAGACACATGTCCATTGTTGAGGCTGAGTTCCAGCCAAGTTAAAGAAAACAGGGATTTGATTGGACAGATGATACAATTAATGAGCAAACTTCCTAACAAACACAGCAAGCAAACTAACCAAATTTTATTTTGTTGATGACCATGACAATAGTATAATAAGTCAAGTAAATTGAATCTTTATGGTGATGAAACATTCAAGAAATTATGAAATTAACATAATAGAATTGAATTCGATACAATTGTTCAATATATACCTCACATCTTATAAATTATTGGGAGTTCATGTTATACAGTTCCTAGTCAATTATATGAAATCTTAATATAAAATGAAAAAAAAAAACACATTGCTCAAGTTAATATGGGTTAAACTTGTACAAATTTCAACAACTTATGATATCTGATCATATCAAAATACACATTTTTTTCATGGGTTATTTACATTTATGCAATTAAAGTATGTGACACTTACTTTTGTCTTAAAACATGATGTTTGGTTTGTTTGATAACTTGTTCAAGCAAAGACTCACTGAAAACAGAAAATGTACCTCTTAAGTATCTTATTTCATGCTGTACAAACATTTGACCTGTCAATAAAATCAAACATGGGATACAGGAAAACATTTTTTTTTTTAAACTATTATCATTATTTTTCTTGCAACCTCCCAAATATTTACCTTTGAAAAGACATCTTAATAAATTTAAATAAAAAAAAAAGATATAAATGGCCTTTTACTGGCACATTGACAAATAAATGTGAGAATTCTAAAATTACATCTTATGGTGTACTGAACAAGAATAAATAATAAAGAAGATAGTTGTCTTATATTTCCTAGGTAAACTGTTGTTATCTTTGTTAGATAAGACTCACTTGGTACTTGGTCAGTGATCTATTCTTTTTAAATTCTGATATGATCTACTGTAATAAATTTATTGATATCAGAAAGTATTATTTCATATCCTCTTATCATTCTTGTTAGCCATTCCTAGACCCATATCCCTTGTCAATAGTAAAGTCATTCAGTATATAACAATTCCATTATTGTAAACAGTTTCCTATACCAAACATGTTTATCACTACTCAAACTATTTCTGTACTTATTGTTGGTAAATCAAGATGTTTTCCAGCTAGTCAAGCAAATTTTATGTCTACTTACTTGTCGGCCATTTCCAGAAGATCTTGTCGACTCATGGACAAAGGCCCTGCCATTCTCCGTTTCTTGCTAACACCAATCATTGCTGTGACTGGATGTGGAGGTGGATAATGAATGTTTTTATAATGTAATTCTCTCAGCAGTTGATGAAGGGAATGTTCTAACACGTGATTATGGTCAAGTTTAGGTGGAGCTGGAGGTGGCTATAAAAGAAAATTATGCTTAATATAAAGTTGAAAAACATCACTAGACCAGGTTTTTCTAGTGCTGATATTTCAATAGGCCTACAAGTACTAGTCCAAGAAACAAGTTTACTGACTCATAATGCATTTATTTTTCTCTTCAAACTAGTACATGTACCACATTTATAGGCAACTATGTTTAACGTACAATGCATCAGTGCCCTGTCGTGGAATTAACAATTGGACAATGCTAATATCCCTTTAGATGAGATAATGGATTCTTTCAGAAAAAATATATTTATCATCCTGAACATGCATGAAATATTTGGACGTTAAGCAACCAACAATCAATCATTTCAGAAAATAGGTATTACAAAATGTATCAAGCAATTGAATAAGTCAATTCTAAAATTGAAATTTCATATTTATATGTATGTACTTGTATTTATGGAATTATATATATATATATTGCTGTATCTTATATAATTCCTGTTTCATTGAGGAAGTTAAAAAGCAAACTCGAAGAATGTATGATGCCCTCTTGTTATTTTTTGGTTATTTGTGTCATTGGTTGTAGTTGGACATATACCTAAAACTCTTTTTTATTCATTTATCGCACAAAAATCAAAACTTCTTCATATATTACAAAACACTAATAATTACCCTTTTGTTTTTATCTTTCCCTGTGGAGTGACAGAGTATTATTGACAACTGTATTCCTGGAAACACCTACAAGAAAACATTATATCTTTATACTTCAATACCATCAAAACATATAAGTTGAAAACTAAAAGTTTTGAAGTTGTGTATATAATATTTAATAAGCATGATTGATCTACATGACTTACACAGAGAGTCAACAGCCATCCAGATCACTGTCAGGTATCAGGTTTATAGATTTTCCAAAGCTCTTCTATTGTCAAATTCTTTATAGGTGTATTTTCTCTCTCTGTGTCTTTGTATTTTAATATTAGCAGACACATATACTTATATACATCTTACAAGTATGCTATTGCATTTTTTTTTGTATCAACTGCAATTCTTTCCTTTTGTTATTGTTTCATTTATTCTTTTGCAGATTTGCTCAAAGTATCATATTTTTCTATTTCTGTGTTAATTACAACTTTAATTTAATTTATTTATAGTAAAATTCATTTGAGAAATATATATATATCCTTATGTGAAAGGACAATACAAAATAGAAATTCAAAAGCCTTTAAAGAAGGTTGAAATATTCTGCATTTTTACAAATGTTTAAGTTGCTTCTATCACAATTAAAAATAAGAAAAATACTTCACAGGTATACAAATCAATTCCATCCCTAACCATACTGGTAAGATACTTACATTTGTGATAATTTGGTTTCCTACTACAAGATGTGGTACTGATGAGTTTGTTTGAACTGCTTCTCTTGCTAACTACAAATACAAACATATATGAATAGTATTTACCATAAGTAAGTAAATGCTCAACAATAAAACAAATTTGCAAGATACAAACTTTGAAACAGTGATTTTTGAATGGAAAGGTCATATCTTTTTGTAATGATGAATTACATTTCCAGATCAGTATAAAATGTATTGTTTACTTGCAAATCCCATTTGAAAAGATATAAACACATTATTCACTGTTTGTTGATTGCTATTGTAAAATTACCACCATGTTTTCATAAAAGACATTTCTTGATAGTCGTCAATCTTCTATTGTTAAACACAATATCAGTACTATTCTACATGCTCAATCACTGTTTTGTTCACAACAACATTGTTCCAGAGAACATGAAATGAAACAAACATTGTTTCTTGGACACACTTAATTAAAATCAGAAGTCTTAAACTTGTGTATACAATATTCAATATGCGGGTGACAATTAAATCATGAAAAATTTAACTCTCTTAAAAATTAAACATTATTTTACTTCAATTGACATTTTTGTAACTAAATCCAGTATTTTATGTCACACATATTCAATATGAAGGTTTAAGCAATCATTCTTTTACCTGAGAAAATATTTCTTTACAAAAGAGAACATTCTGTGCTGCCTGTAGTTTTTGTTGCCAATAGGTTCCTGTGTGTACTGTACCAAGTTCTGATGGTAATCTCATTATGGCACTGGTTAAATCCATTTTCTCTGAAACACAATAAGATGATGTGTTAGGCAAATGGTTTTATTTTTAATTATTTATCCAAAGTGGTTTTTGTTAAACTGACATAATCATATCCATCAATGCCAACAAAAATACCATGCTTACCTTTGTACAGCTGCTATGACAAACACAGTTTTTTTAAAGATAAATGTAAAATATCCTAATTTAAAAGTGACAGATAATATTCTAAATATCTGGTAATAAAATGCTTCGCTGGGCGCAGCTTGATACGACCGCAGAGGTCGAACCCTGAACAGTTGGGGCAAGTATGGACACAACATTCAAGCTTGATACAGCTCTGAATTTGGATTGTGATTAAATATTTGACACAGCATAGGTTTCTGACACAGAAAGAATGTGGTCTAAGAACTTCAATTTTTTTAATTTACCTATTATGGTCCAATGTCCAAAATCAAAATACATGGTTAGATTCAGCATATCAAAGAACCCCATATATTCAATTTTTGTTGAAATCAAACAAAGTTTAATTTTGGACCCCAACTTGGACAAACTTGAAAACTGGTCCCATAATCAAAAATCTAAACACATGTTTAGATTCAGCATATCAAAGTACCCCAAGAATTCAATTTTTGTTAAAATCAAACTAAGTTTAATTTTGGACCCTTTGGACCTTAATGTAGACCAATTTAAAAAACGGGACCCAAAATTAAAAATCTAAAAACACGGTTAGATTTGGCATATCAAAGAACCCCAATAATTCAATTTTTGATGAAATCAAACAAAGTTTAATTTTGGACCCTTTTGACCTCAATATGAACCAATTTGATAGCAGGCCCACAAAATAAAAAATCTAAATACATGGTAAGATTCAGCATATCAAAGAACCCCATATATTCAATTTTTGTTGAAATCAAACAAAGTTTAATTTTGGACCCCAATTTGGACCAACTTGAAAACTGGGCCAAAAATCTAAAATCTAAATACATGTTTAGATTCAGCATATCAAAGAACCCCATATATTCAATTTTTGTTGAAATCAAACAAAGTTTAATTTTGGACCCCAACTTGGACCAACTTGAAAACTGGTCCCATAATCAAAAATCTAAACACATGTTTAGATTCAGCATATCAAAGAACACCAAAAATTCAATTTTTGTTAAAATCAAACTAAGTTTAATTTTGGACCCTTTTGACCTTAATGTAGACCAATTTAAAAAACAGGACCCAAAATTAAAAATCTAAATACACGGTTAGATTTGGCATATCAAAGAACCCCAATAATTAAATTTTTGATGAAATCAAACAAAGTTTAATTTTGGACCCTTTTGACCTCAATATGAACCAATTTGATAGTGGGCCCACAAATAAAAAATCTAAATACATGGTAAGATTCAGCATATCAAAGAACCCCATATATTCAATTTTTCTGGAAATCAAACAAAGTTTAATTTTGGACCCCAATTTAGACCAACTTGAAAACTGGGCCAAAAATCTAAAATCTAAATACATGTTTAGATTCAGCATATCAAAGAACCCCATATATTCAATTTTTGTTGAAATCAAACAAAGTTTAATTTTGGACCCCAACTTGGACCAACTTGAAAACTGGGCCCATAATCAAAAATCTAAACACATGTTTAGATTCAGCATATCAAAGAACCCCAAGAATTCAATTTTTGTTAAAATCAAACTAAGTTTAATTTTGGACCCTTTGGACCTTAATGTAGACCAATTTAAAAACGGGACCCAAAATTAAAAATCTAAATACACGGTTACATTTGGCATATCAAAGAACCCCAATAATTCAATTTTTGATGAAATCAAACAAAGTTTAATTTTGGACCCTTTTGACCTCAATATGAACCAATTTGATAGCGGGTCCACAAATAAAAAATCTAAATACATGGTTAGATTCAGTATATCAAAGAACCCCAAGAATTCAATTTTTGATGAAATCAAACAAAGTTTAATTTTGGACCCTTTTGACCTCAATGTGGAGAAAGTTGATAACGGGGCCCAAAAATCAAAAATCTAAATACATGGTTAGATTCAGCATATCAAAGAACCCCATATATTCAATTTTTGTTGAAATCAAACAAAGTTTAATTTTGGACCCCGATTTGGACCAACTTGAAAACTGGGCCCATAATCAAAAATCTAAATACATGTTTAGATTCAGCATATCAAAGTACCCTAAAAATTCAATTTTTGTTAAAATCAAACTAAGTTTAATTTTGGACCCTTTTGACCTTAATGTAGACCAATTTGAAAACGGAACCAAAAATTAAGAATCTAAATACACGGTTAGATTCAGCATATTAAAGAACCCCAAGAATTCAAGAATAAAACCCCATTGAAATTGATCAAGAAATAAGCAATTTATACGAAGTATCTTCTTTTGCACAATACTGTGCAATTGAATATTTCTTGCTATTGTGCAATACTGTAGAATTGACAATTTCTTGCTATTGCGCAATATTGTGCTATTGGATATTTCTTGCTATTGCGCAATACTGTGCAATTGAAGATTTCTTGCTATTGCGCAATACTGTGCAATTGAAGATTTCTTGCAATTGTGCAATACTGTGCAATTGAAAATTTCTTGCTATTGCACAATACTTATTATATAATAATTTACACATCCTGTTTGGTGTGTATCTCCTACCATATCATTATTATTTGCTTTTAAATATCAATCAGAAATAACCAACTTAAAATGGAAAATTTTAAAAGAAAAAAAAAGGAAAAAAAGAAAAAAAAAGAAAAAAAAAAATCCCCCCCCAAAATTTTTTGAACCCCCTTATGATTCATCACCCCCAAACTCAATCCCAGCCTTCCTTTTGTGGTATGGTACCTTGCAGTACAATTTCAGAGAGATCCATACACTTGAACACAAGTTATTGTCTGGAAACTAGAAAAATGCTTATTTTTGGCCCCTTTTTGGCCCCCAATTCCTAAACGTTTTGGGCAATTACCCACAAACTCAATTCCAGCTTTCCCTTTGTGATATGGAACCTTGTAGTACAATTTCAGAAATATCCAAACACTTACACACAAGTTATTGTCATGAAACTAGAAAAATGCTTGTTTTTTGCCCCTTTTTTGGCCCCTACGACGACGACGACGACGACGCCAACGTCATACCAATATACGACCAAAAAATTTTCAATTTTTGCGGTCGTATAAAAACGAGACTTCCACCTACTTGTAGATAAGAAAATTTCTCATCTAATTAAGAGCTCATGATTAGATCATTTGAAATTAGGACCTTTGATGCTCAATCATGTTGCTAGTACAAAAATGTATATATCCGACAGATACATGTTCCTTGTATTGATAGTAATACTCAGACTCAATCCTGAATGCCAGACTTTTACCCCCTAATCCATAGGAAATATAATTTTGGATATTACTGTCAATGAATTAGTATGCCTAACCTTCTATGATTTGTTAGCTCCCAAAAACTGTTAGAATTAAAATCTTTAACCATAAACTTGACATTTACCTGGTACAGATTTGACTTCCACCTGTATGTATGCCACACCCCTCAGATCATTAGGAATAACAACCTCTAAACCTCCTTTAGTTGCAGATCCTTCAGTTTCTGTAGATGTACTAGTGGTGGTTTTTAAAACTTCAAAGGTTCCTCCCTGCCAGAACCTTGAACCAGCTGGTAAATCATAAATTTATCCATCAAATCTTAGTATGCTACATTATATCACAATCAATTTAAAAAAAATATTGAAGTAAACATAACCTGACCTTTTTCACAATCATAAGCTTCAATTTAGTTTTAGTTTTACCCTGTAATTGATTATAAGTACATGTGGCTCAATCTGTCAGAATACAAATATCACATCAATCCAATATAACTACTAAAATCTACTTTTATCTTATAAAAAAATTAAGTGTTGTCAAGAAAAAAAATCAGTTATAATTTCTATAAAATAATTATCTACAACACATTTTTTACCTGTTTTATAACTTAAATCTCCTAGAATTGTATTTCCAACTTTTTTAAGTCTCCAGTTTTGTCTTAGTTTAAGCAGCTCAATATGAAAATCATTATGCTTAGATGTGCCCTCTGCTTGTGATTTTTTTAATCTTTCAGCACTATTCATTAAAATACTTGCTGATGTAGTTAGTGCCTGAAAATAAATAAAAAATATTAGTTTATTTCCAAATCTTCTTGAGTTGATATTTTTACATTAACTAAAACTCAAAACCTAAAAATCTCAAAAAAGAATTGAGAATGAAAACGGGAAATGTGTCAACAACAAACCGACCTAAGAGCAGAAAACAGCCAAAAGGCCACCAATGGGTCTTTTGTGTAATCAACTCGTCCTACAGTTTTCAACCCAGATCCTTGAAATTTCACAGAAAGATTGCACACATTTTGAAGTTGTGCAACTGTTACTATGTTATTGTTTGAGGAATTAAATAACAGCAGGTGCACAACTTGAACATGTGTGCAATCTTTCTGTGTAGGATCTGGGTGGAATACTGTAGGAGTTGCTTACACAAATAAGGTACCCACTTTTCCCTGCCCGCTCAGCTGTCCGCTCACCTGACATCATCAAACTATAAGATGATTTAGGACTTTATCCAAACCAGCCAAAAAATTAAGCACTCTTAATAAACTATTTTTCAATTATTTTTTGTTTAATGACAAATTGTAAATATTTCCCTAAATACAAATATTGCTTTATATCATTTGAAGTAAATAAAGTATTATGAGCAAAAGTGAAAATATCCAAATTTAAAGAAACATATGTAGCTACTAAACTTCCTCATCTAAGATAGATTAGGAAATGGGTTAATATGGAACATCCATAAAAGTGAAATTTATTTCTAAGTAGATTACAAACATATAATAACTCCCAAATAAATTTTTTGATGAGTGCTGTGGCTTTTTTTGTCAAAACACTTCATCATGTCTCTACAATGATATTTGAAATTTTAATTACTTGCCAAGATTTTTTTATACAATAAGTAACATTTGTACTCAACAGGGTCAAATTCTCTATCAATTCTCCCATACAAAAATCAATATTTACAGGTTCTCTTAAAACAAGAATTGACTAGATTGATATTTTTTTGTTAGGATTTTTTTGTGATCAGCTTTAAGATCTCAGTCTTATTTGAAGCGTTTTTTTCATCAAAATTACCTTATTTTGTGAGCAAAATACTTTAATTATGTTTTATTTTGAAAGATAAGCTGTCAGCACTTATATAGCAAAATTAAGAATGCAACAATTACATTGGTTTGCAGTTTACACAATTATTTTTCAACAACTAACTCATATTACTTGTTTTTTAGAGGCTAATTGTAAAGCAGTCTTTGGATCTGGGGCTGGTTGAGATACTTGATCTAACACCATATAATTCTTTCTCTTGGCAATGTTTAAAACATCTAGCAGGACACTCATCTCTGTCAGGGAAGCCCTATAATACAAATAATTCAGGTAAAATTATCTACAAGTCAAAAGAAAATAAAAACATTGGAATTATTTCAAGCAGTGATAGTCCTTTGATTCATTTTGTAAAATTGTGACAGATTACGAACAAGATGAACTGTGAGTTACTGCTCACTTATGAGTTACTGTTCACTTATGATTCCCCACTTTAATACTCACGAAATAGGAACTTGACGAGTGATGAAAGTCAAAATGCATCACATGGTACAGTATGCTCACATGAAGGTGAGAACCCTGTGTACATTTAAGTTTCTGAATGCAATGAGATTCTGCAGACTGAACTTGCATTTTTGTGTCAGATATTGTATTTGAAAATGTTTGACAAATATGAAGATAAAAAAAAAGAAAAGAAATTTACAATAATTTCCACCAACAGGATCAATATAGAACTTTAGTGTCACATACTGTTGTACATGTACATTGTATACTGTACTCCTTTAATGTGTATAATTTATCATGTTTATTAAAGTTTTACTTGAGTTTATTTCTAACTGAATCCCATGGCCATAATGATGGCTGAAATGTTGTGGCTTTTTCTTCTTCAGATTCTTTTTCTCCTTCTGATGTGGGTTTTCCCTTTTCTTCACATTCATCTTTATAAAAGTCTATTTTGTTGGCTAACTTGGCCAAATTCTCTGACATAGACAATTGTCTGAAACCAAAAAAAAGTCAAATAAATTAATTCCTTGGCAAGAAACCCTAAAAACACACATATCTGTATAACTAGATTACTAATTTAATTAAGGGATAAAACTTTGTAAAATAATGAATTAAAATAATGCCATTCACTAAAATGCCAAAAATTTAAACTGATTTTTTTTTTGCAGTTATGGAAAATATGGTGCCTCAAATGCTGAAATCTCTCTTAAATGTACTGAAATCCTTATTGGATAAAGTGGCAAAAAATACAAATCTAGAAACGAAGAGAAATATGTATCAACCTTTTACAGAATCATGACTGCCATATTTTTGCACAAGAAGCTAGCATATATGAAACAATAAGTAGAACTGTGAGACTTTGCTCACTCATCATATCCCTGCTTAAAGTATTCTGTTACTAGGAAGTTGAAGAGCAATGGATGTGAACATGAATCTCTCGGATTAACACATTTTAATGAAGCCTGATAACAAAATTCAGAAATCTCTTATTCATACATTGTAGTTCCTTAGAAAATTGCAAAGAAAAATATAAGTTTTCTGTAAACAGAGGTTGATGAACGATAAATCTGAAAAGCATCAGTGATCACACAGTATGGCCAGAGAACACAGTTATTTCGTAGTGCATTTCTTTAATAGAATTTAAATGTTATTGTTACGTTTAAGACGAATTGCCAGACAATAGGTAGGGTTAACAAGTAAAACTGTGAGCTACTGCTCACTGATGATACCCCCGCCGAAATATTTCGGTAAACAGGAAGTTGTTGAGTGATGAATCTGAAAATGCATCACACGGTGTAACTTACTTATATAAACCCTGAAACCAAATTTCAGAAATCCTTGTCAAGTAGTACCTGAAAAAAATGGGACAAAAATATTCATGGGACGGACGGACTGATGGAAGGACAGACAGAGGTAAAAGTGTATACCCCCACTTTTTTAAAGAGGGGGTATAATAAACTGTAGACACAGAGATATGCATCACCTTTTTGTAATTTGATATTGCAAATATTGAATCCAAATGGCAATATTTAAACATGTAAATTATGCAAAACATTCAAAGTCAATGAACCATGACTTATCATGCAGGACCAAATAACCCAATGAAAATGATAAATGCCAATTCTTATAAAACTGCATACCAAATACCATCGACTTATCTTAAGAGGTTCCCTTTACAATAACCTAAACACAAACTTTAATTTGTAAACAATGTGGAAGTTTCAAAGTTAATGAACCATGCTGAGGGGGTGCTGCCATATTATCACCAAGGAAAAGAGACTTACAAATGCTACAAAATGTAATACAACTGCATACCAAATATCATCGACTTAACATTAGCGGATCCTCTTAGTCTTAAACTCATCTTATCACATACTTAACATGTAAAGTAAAAACTTTGCAAAACATTCAAAGTCAATAGACCATGACTGAGGGGGAACCAGGGTAGAGCGAAATAATTTCTATGGAAATGAGATGTTCAACTGCTAATGCATCTACATGAAATCAAAGTTGCAAAGTCAATAGACCATGACTGAGGGGGTGGGACCAAATAATTTCCATGGAAATCAGATGTGACAATGATGACGCATGTACATACCAAATATCATTGACCTACTACTAGTGGTTCCTCTTAAACTGACCTAATCACAAACTAATACATGTCAAGTAAGCAAAAGTTTCAAAGTCAACAGACCATGACTGAGGGGTCAGGACCAAATATTCACCATTGAAATGAGATGTGCCAATGCTTATACAACTGCAAATATATCATTAACCTTCTACTAGTGGTTCCCAAAAAAATTACCTAGTCACAAACTTTTACATTATTGACGCCGCCACCAACAGCATACATAAGTCTTGCATTTTGACTCCGTCAAAGCGAGACAAAAACGTTTAATTACAAACTTAACAATAATATTTGTGTCTATATATATATATATATATATATATATATATATGGTTACATTGTGTTATTGTTACATCAATGTATTTCAATGTATGCTTAGAATAGTACTAAATTATGTCCTAGATGTACAAAAAATGTATGTTATATATTTTTAATACATCTTGAAAACTCTTTTATTCTTAATCAATTCATTCTCGCTGTAATGAAGAACCATTGATGGCCTTGGGCTGTTTTCTGCTCTTTGGTCGAGTTGTTGCCTCTTTGACACATTCATTGTTTCCATTCTCAATTTTATTGATACAATATTGCATACATATTGTTTAGTCTATTTTGCAATGGCAGCTTCTGCACATCCAGTATGTTCTCTTGGGGTATGTTTAAGGCTGACACATTTTTGTTGGAACACAACTCAAAACATGTACAGCCATCACAAACAATGAGATGCTGCATTGTGCACGTTGGTTTTGCGCACCAAACAATTCCACTCTGCAATGTCCCTTTTTTGACGTAATACCATATTTCAATCTCTTCCATGCTTTGGGTGAACAGTACTAGTTTTATTCTCGAAATATTTATCATTTTCCTCCAAACTTTTAGTTATTGTTTTCAATGTACATGTACAATGTAATCGTAGCCAGTGCCTTAAAAAAAATGCACCTGCTGTATCTCAATAAGATTTTTTGAGTGTACATGTAGTACTTTCCTGACTTTTAGGACAAATTATATCAAAACTACAGAAAAGTGTACCAGCTCTAACTCAAAATATAGACAATTTCATGTTGCATACGGATAACAGAGACCTAAAAATTAAAATCAGGAAACTTTTGGTCATTTAGATAAAGGGGGGTAAATTATAGCTCAATATTGACAACAAAATTTCTTACGGGGCATAAACTTCTTGTATATCTTGTCCATCGCCTTCTACTCTAACTTCTTGTATTTGGCTTTCCAAAACTGCTTCAACGCAAACTGGAACTGGTGTAGTCATCTTTTGTCAAAATTCAGTTACTGAGATCTGGTACCTTGATGTTATGAATATATCAACCAGTTCAAATCTAATATTAGTATGAACTCGGACTAACATTCTCATTCCGGAAAAATCTCACAATGCACAGGCGCTATGGGAATTGACCCCCCTTTTCTATATATTTGTTATTCTGTTTTTATTTTTCCAGTAAATGTTCCTTAACATTTTAACTGTTCTTATCCATACAATAATACTATAACAGTAGTTCAGTATATTTCTATTTTTATTTGATTTTTTGTTGTTGATTTTTTACTACATGTACCTCTTGAACAGTTCTATCTCTGATCATGTTTATAATAATACATTGAACTACTTGACTGTATATTAACAATGTGAAATATCTGTTTTTTATTGTATTGTAATTTGTATGTTAGGGCCTCAGGGAAGATAAGTTTGTTGTTGTTATTATTATTATTATTATTATTATTATTATTATTATTATTATTATTATTATTATTATTTTTATTATTATTATTATTATTATTATTATATACTGGGACTATCAGACCATGACGCAGACCATGGTATATCAGATCATGACGCAGTCTTCATTGAATCATCAGCAGCTGCAAAACGAGGGAAACCAGTAAAACGAAAAATACACCTATGGCAGATAATGAAAAACTGAAAAAAAGAATGTTTAGAATTCCAACAACAATTCCTAGACAAATACACAATTCAGTCGTCTATAGAAGAAATGTGGTTAGACATCAGTATTGCCCAAATTAACATCCTAGATTCTGCAGTACCATCAAAGATGACTAGCAGCCGCTTTAGCAAACCCCGGATCACAAAAGAGATAAAAGCACTATCACGGCGAAAGAAAAGGAGCTTTAACAGGGTCAGGAGTCGGTTTCACAAAAATACTTACGACTAAGATTGGTCGTAAGTCATGAACAATTCAGTATACTTACGATCAATCTTAGTCGTAAGTTTTTTTGTGAAACCGACTCCAGATCCTCAAATAAATCAAGGGACAAGAAAAAATACCAACAACTTAAATCTGTAACAAAAACAGCGTGCAAAAAGGCTTATAATGATTATATCACCAACATAATCTCACCAGACTGCACCGCAAATCCGAAACGCTGATGGAGCTTTATCTTTATTAACAGTAAAAACAAGGACAGCAGTGGAATGGCACCCCTTAAAGCAACAGATGGCCTAACATATTCTGAACCAACGGCAAAAGCTAACATCTTGAACAACCAATTTTCATCTGTATTTAACTCCAACGAACCAAAAGACAACATCAAATCAATGGGTAAACCGACATTCCCGAATATGCTTAACATAAACATCACAGAACCAGGTGTACTTAAACTACTACAAGGCCTCAAAATCCACAAAGCAACTGGACCAGGTGGATTGTCAGCTAGACTGTTGAAGATTCTAGGCTCTGAAACAGCGCCAGTCTTCACAGTCTTTTTCCAGGCATCCATTAACCAAGGAGTTATCCCAAAGGAATGGAAGAAGGCAGATGTGGTACCTTTATTTAAGAAGGGAGCTAAGAACCGCCCTGAAAATTACAGACCCGTCTCACTCACGTCCATCACCTGTAAAATGTTGGAGCATATAATCACGAGCAGCATCATGGAACACTTAGAAAAACACACCATCCTAACAGACGTACAACATGGCTTCCGTAAACACAGGTCCTGTGAATCACAACTTATCATCATTGTCCAGGATCTTGCCAAAACAGTCGATAACACCGGACAAACAGATGTCATTCTGTTGGACTTCTCTAAGGCATTCGACAAGGTACCACATAGAAGACTAATGCATAAATTACATCACTATGGAATACGGGGTAATCTTCATAGCTCGATTAAAGATTTTCTAAACGAAAAATCACAGCACGTCGTCCTCGAAAACGGAAGATCCAACACTGCACCTGTCCAATCAGGAGTTCCCCAGGGCAGTGTCTTGGGTCCCACCCTATTCTTACTATACATTAACGACTATCAGATTACACAATCAACAAATCATCAGTTAGACTGTTTGCCGATGACTGCGTCCTGTACAGGGAAATCAAAAACACCACAGACGCAGATCTACTCCAAGAAGATCTGGAGACCCTACAAGCATGCATGGGAAAAGGGGGGGGGGGGTCATGGGAGAATGACTGGATTATGGAATTCCATTCCAACAAATGCCAGGTCATAAAACATTACCAACAAGAGAAAACCTATAAGACAACCATATAACATCCATGGCCATGTCCTAGAGGAAGTTGAATCCGTAAAATATCTGGGAGCAAACATCAACCACAAACTGAACTGGAATACCCACATAGACCAAGTAGTGAGGAAAGCCAACAACACCAGGGCTTTTTTGCAGAGAAATATATATCAATGCCCACGCAAGTCCAAGGAACTCTGCTACAAGACCCTTGTGAGACCACAGATGGAGTATGCCAGCTTCATTTGGGACCCACACACTGCCAACAACATCCATAACCTGGAAATGGTACAACGTAGGGCGGCCAGGTTTGTTACTGGTGACTCCCATCGAACCACCAGTGTAACAAACCTATTACACCAACTGCAATGGCCAACCCTACAAGAACGCAGAGCTATGAACAAAGTCATAATGATGTACCGCATAGTCAACCACCTGGTTGCAATACCAACATCTTGCTTAATTCCAACAGCAGCAACCTTAAGAGGACACAACCAAAGATTCCTTGTTCCATTTACAAGAAAGCAGCTATACCAGCATTCGTTCTTCCCAGACACCATCAGATTATAGAACAGCCTGCCATCAACTACTATAACCTGCAACTCAATTGACACCTTCAAGTGTAAGAACTGTTTGTGCCATTTTAATTGTACATATTGTTTTTTAACTGCACTGTAAATATTGGTTTGTCTGCACCACGCATCAGTTCGAAAATACACCAGATGGTGGACTGAACTGCAAACGGAAGAAGAAGAAGAAGACTATTGATAGAGTCCTCTATTCTTATCACCGTCACCAATTTTACTATCATGTTTCGCACATTATTGAGTTATGTTGTAAGTATTAAAGGTCTGTTTGTAGTATAGGCTTTGGACATTTTTTATATACTTCCTTGAAGTTAACCTTAATTTACTTCAGACTTTTAGTGGTTTCGTGTTGCTCAATCTTTAGGTTCCTGTCACGTGTTTTGTGAACTGTTCAGTGTTGGTCTTTTCGTCGTTTTTTTAGCCATGTAACTGTATGTTTTTATTCGACTTCTCATATTTATCGCCACCTTTGTTATATCCCACAGTGTAGTATCCCTCTTTTTTCAGTTTTGGTAAAACTTATTCACAAGAACAAATTATTTTTCCAATCTTAGCATCTGGTTATATATACGAAATAATACGAATTGAGCATATTATTCTCATATCATTTCTAACAAACCTATATTAAAAATACGATATAATCAATCATAGACGAGTGCTTGGGTAGGACATTTATCAGCATCAGCTTGATGTCACAATCAAGGCTTCTGTTAATTGTTATATGGTGGAAATACGTATCTTTTTTACAGATTTATCATTCTTACTGAGTCGCTTGAACTTACTTTTTGACTCAATCGTCTAAATATATTACAAGTTAGGATATTGGAAGTGAAACTTTTATTTATACTTGTGGGTGGTCATTATTTAATTTTTAATAAAGGGGAGATGTAGGGCACGGAACGTCAATTAGACAGCAACTAAATCGTGACTTAGGTCGGCGACACTATAATCAAAAGTGACTAATTGAATTATCGCATCATAGCTTCCAATGTTTATAATGAGCTCTTGAAACTTTGAAAATACAGGTAACTACATTTCGGCAGAATTAGAAAGGGTAACTTTTCTCAAATATCACGAGTCAATACTCATTTGAGACACTTGTTAAGTATTCGAAACGAAATTTAGAAATTATGAAGTAACTAATGTTTCAACTCCCTCAAACAAAGTTGGCCGTAGATGGATTTGGCTATTATTTTTAGGTCTTTTTTTGGTCATATAGCTCTTTGACTGTTTCGGTTCTTACACTTCCTTGGTTTTCATATATTCGGCTTTGAGCGTTCTTGGTGAAAAGAACTTCCAGAAAAGCGTTTCGGACCCATGAATTCAAAAAAGTGTTGTTTTCTTATTTAGCTCACCCAGCCGAGCTTTATCGTCACTTGGCGTCCGTCGTCGTTAACTCTTACAAAAATCTTCTCCTCTGAAACTGCTGGGACTAATTTAACCAAACTTGGCCCACTCATCATTGGTTATGTAGTTTAAACATGTGTCCGATGACCCCGCCTGCCAACCAACTTTGCCAGCATGGCTGAAAATAGACTATAGAGGTTAAATGCAAGTTTTGACTATTATCTTGAAAACTGCTATTAATAGAGAAATCTGACACGTTCAAAAATGTTCAGAATGTTAAGATCTATCTATGGTCTATTTAGACTCGATAAGTTACTATACAAATGTTGTGAACTATGTTGCAAAATGTAATTAGAATACATCTATGTTAAATCATGAATTTTGTTTGAATAACAACGAATCAAACATTTAATGCTGCAATCTCATTATAAATGTTTTTCAAATGTCATTTAAAAATTGGCTTTTCTAATGTAAAATAGAAATTATATCTAGATTTTAGTATCTTTTAATGATATCCGTGTGTGGGGGTGGAAGGTCATATCATTGCTTTGGCATTTAAAATATGAAGTTAAAATCTGTCCATATACGAAAAAATGGAAAGAATTGTGACTCTTTTGTGTTTGCGTGTATAGATCTCTAATTAATTATACATTCAATTTCAGTGATGAAATCTACCTCGTTAGTTTAAATGACGGATTATATAGTATTTGATAAGTCAAAGAAACCCCATGGCGACTCTTATTTCATACGTCCTTCCCTTAGATCAAGTGATTAAGAAAAAGACACTTAATTATAAGTATTGATATTTAGTATCAAAAACTTTTAACATGTGAAATCTTGTCTCCGTTTAAGTCGACAAGCGTGACTATTCTAACATGATTTTTTTACACAGAAATATATATTTCACAACATTCATAATTTATGAAACACCTGTCTAATAGTGTATGATATTCGTTTTATCTATGCAGTATAATATTTTTCTTTCGGATTTGTTTCTTGACAATATTGACTTCTCTACTTATATAAAATCAATCATACAGAAGTAAAAGACAGATTTTTTTGTCACGAACAATTGAAGATTACTTAGTAATAAACAGGATTGTATGTTGTTTGAAATTAATGTAAATAGAAAATCATTTTAAATCCTGAATACAATTCTATTAAGTGTTGCTATAAATGTGAATCTATGTTATAACCATATACATTTTCATAGGAATAGAGGAAAATGGATTATATTCTATTAAATGCTGCACACAAACTATAGGATACAAGTGTAAGAGTTTTCATAGCTTTAAGATATGGAAACGTCAATGACAAAATATTTCAATGCCGTGGCGGACAATAAGAGGATTGATGCAGGACTAAAAGTCTACGAACTAAGAATCGATGATTCTAGAAGAAAAGCCATCAATAGGATTTGGAAAACAAAATTTGATTTGTTGGATGAACTAGTTTTGCTAAACGTGAAAACACCAGAATGTCATGGTAAAAGACCAGGAACGGGTGAATTTAGGGTAGGCTTAAAAAATATGACTTTAGATGATAAATTATTTAGTTCAAAGCCAGTGTCGTTTGGCTTTAAAAAATCAAAGACTCCTGTAGCCCCGGTGATTGAAGTTAATGGAAAGGAAGCGGTGTGTTATCCAAATCCAGAAGCAAGGCGTGGAAGACATGTTCTATTAGATAAAAGGACTTCAAGAAGGATAGAAGCCGCTAAAGTTCACACTACAGCTTTGTACAATATTGATCGGGACAGAATTCAAAGGGAAAGAACAAATAACGATCTTCATCGTAAAAATCCCAGAAATTTTTGTCGACCCTTTACTGCCCCACGTTCACAAAAACCTGGTATACCACACAATAAAAAGCTTCTTAACAGACCAAAGACTTCTGTTGGGTTTCATTCTATTTCTGTAGATATGTTGAAAAAGTAACGGAAAGATGTGTGAAGTTGGTATCTCACGTTTAATAATTCTGGAATTATATTCAAAATCTGAAACAAGGATCCGATAATGCGAAAAACCCAATCTTTTCCGTGTCAATTTAAAACAAAATGCAGGTAAATGAATAAAGGAAAAAAATTAGCGCACTGTATAGATATTTTGTTGATAGATTAGTTAACACTCAAATATTAAAATAAATACAAAATTGAATATTTTATTTTCGAATAGAAATACATTTACTTTCATGAACTTTATGAAATGTTGTTTTTTTTTGTGCGTTTTTTGTTTTTTTGTTTTTTTGTTTTGCTGTAATCTGTTCGCCCCTCAGTTTGATACTCTTTCGTGTATCGTTTGATTTTAAGTGAAAAAATGATTAATATAAAACCAGACCTTATTAAAATTTATTGTACTTCTTTTAAATATGTGTACATTTTATTACATTTATTGAAACTATTTTCGTTAGAGATTTATTGTATTATTTGGAAATATTTTCATTACATTTTTCTGACGACGTAATGAGTTTGTAATTATATTTTCTGCAATTAAGTTTTTAAAGACACGACCAATGAACCAGATAACCACTTAAGGATCGAAGAAATTAAACGGGTTTTTTTAAAAACTCCAATAAATTGACTGTTAGAAGTTCATTTTAATATGACATATATACATATATATCAATGTTTAAGTATATTTATCGGTTTAAATAAATACTCAACATTCTAGTAAATATGAAATATCATAATATTGGTGCTCTTATTGTATACAATTTGCTTAAATCATTTGCCTGGTACGTACATCTCATATGCATGAGCGCAGTTTGATTTTGTACTTTAATATATTAAATAAAGCATAATACATGTATATGTTGTGTTTTGTCGTTAGATGAATAATTGCGTACGTAGTTTATATCTTAAGTGATCTTAAGTAAGAAAGAAAGGTTCGCGGATGGATTTTATTGCCCAATCTTTAGATTTCCGCGTGTTGTGATGTGTGGTCTGTTTTTTTGTCTGTTAAGTTTTTTAGCTCGCCTGAGCCCATATACGGACATGTGACTTTGTGTCCGTCATCTTAAACTTTTTCAACCAAACTTAGTCTGGGAGAACACGATTTATTTATTAGTTGTAATTGGCTTTAAACTAGCTTTAAGTAACTGCGAGTACTCTTATTTAGTGCTGTGTTAGTTGTTTTTGTGCCTTGCACCGATCTTTTGAGTTAAGCCAATTGCTATTGATTTTTACAGTTTGTTGTTATGTTGTGCTGTTACACCACTGTCCCAGGTTAGGGGCATGGTTGAGCGTTCACAAACTTGTTTTACCCCACCACATTCTTTATGGGCCTGTCCCAAAGTCAGGAGCCTGCAGTTCAGTGGTTATCGTTGGTTTATGTCTGTCATATTTGTTTTTTGTAAATTGTTTTGTTATAAATAAGGCCGTTGGTATTCTCGTTTGAATTGTTTCACATTTTTCATGTCGGAGCCTTTTTATAGCCGACTATACGGTATGTGTTTTCTCATTGTTGAAGGTCTTACTTTTGCCTATA